CACCCGAAGCCCGGTTCACGCTGCTCAACGTTCGCTTTTCATTGTTTTATTATTTTTTAATTGATTCGCCGAGGGCCGGACTCGCAATTTTTACACAAATAACGTCTTACATTTACTTTTTGTTACGCAATGTTAATATTAACAAAATAAATATATTTATGCATGATGACATCATAATATGACAATTATAACAAAAATTCTTTGACGTAAACGTCTTTTTATAGCCTGCAGGCGTTATTATGACCCAGCGGGCTATAATGAAACGTCAAAAATTAAAAATAACAATGTTACACCATTTGATATATTGGAAGTAAGTTTTTTCGTATGAAGATTTTTTCCGGCAGCAGGCCGCAATTTTTCGCCTTTTGAGCTGCTTCCTCAATTTCATTCATCTTTAAACTTTAAAACTGACTGATGTCAGTTGACATTATAATATGACAATTATAACAAAAATTCTTTGACGTAACGTCTTTAAAAAAAATAATATATTAAAAATAATAATATATTAATCGTGCATAAAGTTTTGTATGCATTGCTGGCATAACTGGTTTTTATGGTCCTATAGGTCCTATACGACGCTTTTCTAGCCGTCGCGCTAACGCGCTTGGGCTCGAAATAGCGCCTCGGACCATAAAAACCTTATTATGCCCTTAATACATAAATAACTATTATAAATATATCTATCTTAAGAAGCTTTGAATAGGTATTTTTAATAAGTTTCCTATTTTTAGTAAACATTATTACAATAATTTATGTTAGTTTAATTCAGAGATATTTATGGGTGAATATATTGAGATGTCCCCCAAGTGATAATGATTATTTTTTATTTTTGGTTGTTTCACTGTTAGTCTAGAATAGGGTTTTTGGGAAGCCACCAGGTCTAGTAATAACATAAGGGCACATCCATTAATTACGAGAGACAAAAATGGGTGGGAGGGGTCCAGCAAAAACTCACCAAATCTCACGTCAACTTTTGAGTTTAAAAAATATGTATATAATTCAAATTTGCTATAAAACATTAATCTTTCTTTTTACATGTCCGCAAAGAAAGTTTAATGGCTAAAATCTCACGTGAGGGATAGGGGGGGGTCTACCACATCTCACAAAATCTCACCAAGGGGAGGGGGGCCCAAATTATCAGAAAATTGCCTCACGTAATTAATGGATGTCCTCTAATTTTAAGAAATCATGCATTTTGAATATTAGAGTTTCACGGAAGATAGCTTCATGGAGGTTAGGATTTCGTATGTTTTTTTTAATCCCTTTGTATATTTGAAATAAGTTATTGTATCTTTTGACACCTTAATACTTTTTAAAAATACAATTGTACATATGTACATAAAATATTTATAAAAAAAATCTACTTACTGAGATATTACACTTCACTGTGGATAGGTTTTTAAATAGCAAATTAATGAACTTAAACTTTTTAATTATAAAACAGCAACACTCTCATCTGCATATAAATTCTAACTGACCTTCAGGAATCACATGCATCTATAATGTCGTAAACAGACGTTTCTGCTTATTTAAAATGATTAAAGCGCCATCCATTGCATAAAATTTAAAGAAAAAACAGATTCACGGAGGGTAGAATCAATTTTTGTAACACCAACATAAATGTTTATAAAAATTATTTCTTTTAATTTTTAATAAAATTTTATATTTGATTCGATTGCTTTGGATGTGTTTAATTTACTTAGTGAACTATTTTTAGTATGCTTACTAAAAATAGTATAAAGCCTTTTACTACCTCAGATATTTGAAAACATATAGGTTAACCTAGAAAGAGTAACCGTCACGGAGGATAGGTTTTAGACTTTTAAAACATTGTAAAAAATAATTAATTGCGGTTAAAAATCTGGAACCTGAGCTGTAATATGTACTTAATTATGAAAGATCAAAACCCAATAAAAGTGTAGGTCAAACTCATTTAGTTTTATTAAATATCACGGGGTAACACCATCGGGGGACATTTCGTGAGATTCACCCTTATCTGGATTGGTTATATTAAACAATAACGCACAGATTTAAGAAAATAATTTGATCGTTTATATTTGTTATTGCTTTTTAAAATATTCTATTACTGAGTACCCACATTTACTTTGTCCGTTCTTTTAAATTCCAGGTTGATAATTAAAATAAAAAGATTCAGAAACGAAAAATTACAATATATGACAAGAAGACTAAATAAAGAAGAAGTAACCCAGCAAACACAACCGTAAAGGTTCTATAGTGGCCCTTTTATGAACTAAAGACTCATAAAGGCTAACTCTAATGGAACTGTGGTTATTTAAATAATTTTTAATGGATAAGTGAAGTATATATTATGGTGGATTAAATGTAGGTATGTATATATTTATTAGATAAGGATATTCCACGATAATCAGAAATTGTTATCCCTACCGTCACAATACAATTTCTGACGGTCGGGATAAAAATTTCCGATTATATATTGTGGAATATCCGACCCAATAAATATTAACAAACCAAATTTAATCCACCATAATAAATACTTTCATTTTTTCAATTCCATTAAATAATATATTATCGTGAAATGTAATACTTAACCATTTATAAATTTACAAGAAAAAATACAAAGCAATGTACCTCTATAAGTAAAAAATAAAAATTTTATTTTAAAAACTGATTAGTAGGTAATAAATAAAATTCTTTAACTAAATATATTTAAAATTAAAATATATAATTACAAATAAGTTCACTTGATTTTTTTGGTAGATTGTCCTCTATAACAAAGAAAGACAAGTTTTCTTTTCCATTATTAATTTATTTTATTCGCGATTGTCTCAATTTTGACCTTATCAATTAAATAAACCTTTAAACTAAATTCTTTGGGGTATTTTGTCTGTAATGCGCACTAGCATTTTGCGCATCAGAAGGTTACTACTGAGTCAGTAGTAACGTAGTAGTAGACGTACTATACTCCACACACAAATTTGAAATTTGATTACAAATAATTGAGGTTATCTATCTTTAACGCTAATTTCGTCTTATTTTGAACACAGCAGATTCATACCCAATATCAATTCACGTGCGGTAGCCCAAACAAAAAGACTAAATAAAGAAGTATACTTATAACTTACCCCACCTAGCAAGTTACTCCTCCTTTAATAAGTATTCTTGTTTGTGATAAAAACTAAGAACACACCGTTGTCAAGTTTATTGTTAAATAACTCGAAAACTGCTTGTATTCTGTAATTTTTTTTATATTCAAATTTTTTATACAGTAAATAAACTTATATTAATAAATGAAGTTTATTAAGTTTATTAATAAATTTATTTATCCAGGATGTTTTGAAAATGAAAGTATAAAAAAATTACATAATTTTATATTATATTATAATAAAAACAATATTTAATTTAAAAAACTAATTTGTAAATTTGTAAATATTAAAAAAAACAGTAGTAACTTTTTATTTTGTTTGTAATAAAAATAAAACTAATTAAATTGATGGCTCCTGATTATAAATTTAACAATAATTTATTAATTAATTTTATTAAAATAATTACTAAATTGCTTGTTTTAATATTTTTTTCTACAAACTTTAATTAATTGGGTAAATAATTATTGTAAATCAATCAATTACATTAAATTAATAAAATACCGTACCTAGTCAAACTTATAAATATTGCAAAGCCTGATATAGGTCAAGTATTACAATATTTAATAATTTATTAAATAAAGATTAATAATTTATTAAAGATCTTTTCTTCATGAAAAAACTGATGGTAACTTTTAACAAATAAAATGTTGTATGCCATTTATACAAATAATTTAGGTTATATATCTGTAACTTTAACGTTAATTTCGTCTAATTTTCTAAAAATAATACAAAATATGTATTTTTTAGGTATAATTATAAAGGTCTAAATATAGAACACAAAATATCCTTGTATTGTATTATTTAAAGAAAATATAACGAAATTACTAAATAGGTTTAAACTGACAGACAATTTTTTTTATGATTATGAAAATCAAATCAAAATTCCGTGTCCGCCACTGTCCCTATAATTTTTTTTTAATACGGACCTGTGCTTTATTTGTTATGAAGTTTATCTTGAAAGAATTTAATTAGTTTACGAATTTATTTGAATCGAATTATTATAAATTCAATATAAATATGATATTAAAATAAAAATAGAACAAATTTACGCGAATCTTAAAATAGTCATGATGAGGCTTTTAATTTTGTTTTGATTTTAAAACCAATTATTCTAGGAATTTTGAGATGCTATAAATTGAATAAATTAAGCAGATACGTCTAATAAATATCATCATAAACACGGTATTTTTTGTCGGTATTTGCGGATTACGATAAAATCCCCAAACAGTCTTTATTTTTCACATTAACCACCAATTTCCAAAGCCGACCGAAATGAGCCGGCTCTGTATTTTATTTATCAGGTAGGCCGTTCCCATTAAGTAATTGGAGGTTAAGGTTAATTAATTAATATTTAATTTTTTAATTGCCATAAGATTAAAATGTGGGTAGGTATAAAAATTATGGGAAAAATAAATTTTCTTTACTACATTCTACTACCTAAATGTTTTGAGAGATGAATTGCATAAAATAGCATGTAGTTCGTGGTAGGTAAACAAATAAACATGGTCGACGTAATGTCGGAGGTTTTGGGTGGATGTATTAGGTAAAATAGGCTCTTGTATCGATTACTTACTTAAAACAGGAGAAATTCCGATTAGTCTTGATGCGAAAACAAAGCGGCGGCAGCGAGAGCGAGAGCAGCGGCACAGCATTCCCCGCGCGCCCCGTTAAAATAAATAATAAAAAAAACAGAGGCCGAAATGAGTAATCATCATCGTACAGCAAAGCAATCGTATAGGAGCAATTTTTCCCGGTGTGCATCCGGCTGTGAGCAGAGATGTAACTGCACGTAGAGTGTGCGAGAGAGACGGAAGAGGCGAGAATGAAAGGCGATGGTAGCTTGAGGGGGGCTCCGTGCACAGGCGGGAGGGGAACATGGCAAGCAATCGGACTGACACCAAGCCTAGTCCGGCCATCTTGTGACTAAACTGCTCTTCTCTAACGCGAAAACACCCCCGAATTTCACTCGAATCCGCTGTTTTACGCGAAAACCCCTCAAAACAATTGCAGTTGCTGATAACAGTGCGTACTACTAACTAGATCACGTGTATTTACTATACAACTCTCATTTAAATCGTCGACGCAAGTTTTAATTGTTTTTGTGTGGAATTTTTGTGAGTGTGGTGCTTTTCGATACCTACGACTTGGATAACCGCTCCACATCTTTCTTGGGTAAGTTTAGTTTCATTTGTGACAGTGAAATACCCGGCTTCGAACGCTTCATTCTTTGTGCAATCCATTCACAATTTACCGCATTAAATAAACAAACTAATGTTTATATCGCGAGCGCGATAAAAACAAATCGAAAGCGAAGCCGATTTTCGGCCCTACAATGACACACTGAGCCGGTCATTGATTTTAATCAGACTTATTTAATATTTACGCTTCAGGTAAGTGACATTTTACTGTTTTTAAACTTTCGAAGACGTAGCAAATTCGAGTTGAACCAACAGCTGCATACAATCATGTATGTAGCGGTACATTTCACGCAATTACAAAGGAAACATGGGTACCTACTTTCAGATTCGATCTTTGTCAAAATTAATTCGAAAAGTATTTTATCGTCAGAAACAGGTTAACACAAGCGTAGAATAAATTATGAGTCAGTTTATTTTTACAGATAATTACCAACTTAAATCTCTAAATTGTTGTTTGTTGAAAACAGGGCCAGTTTAAAATAGCACTATGCATACGCAAATTTTTGTTCGGTGAGTAATTTCTAACACCCATCATGACAATCGCAAATATTCGGGAATGAAAGAGCAAAAGCGATTTGAATATGGCAAATCAATTAAAGGTGAGCGTAGATGAAGAAGGCGCAACAAGAGACATATAAATTTACAATAGAAACAGCAAATAAAGAAATCGATATAAATGAATAGCGTGTCTCTCTCTTTAGGTCCCGCTCTCCCCCGGGTTTTGCCTCCCATAAAAGCGATGTCGAGCTACTAAGGCCCATTGTTGGATCAAACATGGACTGACTAACTGCCAGCCAGGCCTTTCTGCCTGCCCGCTTGCCTGTCCCGCTCGCTAGCAACAACATTTTCGATCCGACCTCGTTTACCTACCTTAATCACATCGCTAATTACACCATATTCAATCTTCATAATCGTCTAATACTTTAACGCCGAGCAAAACTCGTTTGATTTCATTTTTAATTGGGTTGTGGTGCCTACATGCTCATAAGGGCAAATTTCTTAATACACTGCCATAAACTAAAAAAAAGCGAGATTAAACATTGTTTAATGGTTTAATAAACAACTTTCTGTTTGAATTTAGCAAAACGTTGTAAGCAGCTAAATTAACAATTTTACTTTTAGAATTAGTTATATATTGTCAATATACCGGTGAATTTGTCATTGATCAATTATTACCGGTAAATTAATCATTAAACACACATTGTGTTGGTACCTATCTAACATAAATAGGTAGTCAAAATATTATTAGAAGTATTTAATTTAAGGTACCAAACAAACTTAATACTTAAACCAGTTTACCCACTCAAATAGTTACATACGAAGAGTAAACACTTTAAATTTGAATTTCGGTTATTTCCGGATTATAACAATTAAACTTTAAATTCCTCGAATTGCGTCAATTTGTAAATTAACATAACTATATTATTATTATTGTATTATTATTGTATATTATTTTTTTTACAATTAAAGTTATTTTACGCAGCAGTTTCAAAATTAACAAAACCAATAATAACAAAACGATTTACTTTTATTAATCTTAACCTTGCATATCTCGTGTTTAAAATTAATTTACATTTTTAAGTTTTCCAAACTTAGTAGTTTGGATACTTTCGGTTTTATTGATATTGACAACAATTTATTTCATTCGGAGGCTAAATTCCTGATTGAATTAGTTATTTATGTAAACAGATGTCACTAATTTTAAATTTCAAAGGTTATAGTTTTACATATTATTCGTTTTCAAGAGTTTAATAACTTTGTAGGTACTTACATTAAAATTCTTGAGTTTGTGACATTTTGTCATAGGTTTAACATTTGACATTACAGGTTATGTTCATGAATTTATTCTTCAATGACCTGTAATTTTACAGCTACCTGCACTGATTTCGAACTAAATACGATAGATGGTACCTCTGATCCTAAGTAATAAAATAGCTATTGGGTATTTTTATTTTAGTAAATTTTACCTAATAAAAAACATTTATTTAATTTGGGCCGTAATTTTATCCACCCTCGGCTATAAATTCGATCTGAACCTCAACAAACAAGTTTATATCAATGTAATAAATATTTATGAGAAGACCATAACAATCAAATAATCCATATCCATGCAGCGGGATACTTTCTAATGGATCTGATTTACTGTTTTAGTTGCACTTATGCTGTATTTTAACATTATGTCAAAATGTCTCATTTCGGAAAGGAGCAAATATATTGCTGCAATTTAAAATGCGGAAAAAACGGTTCCAGGGGAAATATGATAGGAATCCGGAAAATGAAATTTGCTTCGGGGATGTTTGTTATATGCGTACAATAACAATATTTCGCGTATATTTATCGGTGTCGAATGCGCGCGCTATAAAAATAAAGTTAATAAGGCTATAATTTTCTAATCCTTATTAATAGAACTAGGTTTAATTTAACAATACGTATTGAGTAATTCGGTTAATTAATGGTAATTATATCGTATGACATTGCATCGTTTTAAAATTGCTTCTATGCTCCGGCAAGTTTTGTTTTTATTACATTAAAGAGACCAGGTTAAAATTAATTATAATTAATATAATGGACATTTTTTAATGATATTAAAGTACCTACCTAGTTTGGTTATTTCAACAACCATCAGAAAGTTCAAGTGCTTATTAATTGTTTAATTTTAAGTTTAGGCTAGTTATGCAATAATAATTTTATGTTCTTTTAAATTATGAAAAATATACTGGGTGTCCCATTTAAAAAAATGTTATTTTTATTGAGCAGATACATTTTTAATAATTTTATATTTCTATGATTTCTGTCAATTTTTTCTTATAGGATTTTCTAAATTGATTTTTAATAATTGTCTACGATTTTTCTATGATTTCTTATAAAGTTCATTTTTTTTATCTGGACTGAGGCAACGTTGCAAATTTAGGGTTTTGGTTGGTAAATACAGTTGTCAAGTTGGTCGCATTGATTAAAACAAACTAAGCTAGTTATAAATCTAATTGTGGTTATGTATAAATTATTGCAGTTGTCAAGTTGAGTTGTCGAAATTCGTAGTTAAAAATGCAATTAATTTGGCTTTGGTGGTGCTTGGATGAGTAAAATCATATAAAAAAGTAGTTAAATATAGGTTGCTTTACGGCCCAGAAGAGAAAGTATTCCTAGCGGATAATAATATTCGCTTTGAAAAGAATTTATATAAAAGAAATTAAAATTTCTTGTGAACGTAAATGTTGTCCAATGGTGAATAATGTGAAAATAATGTGTGATGTAATATTTATTAAACCAAATTCGTTACTTTTTTACTCCAAAAATGTTCATAAGGCGATGTACTTTTTCTTCCATTGTGGCATTTGGCATAATTTCATCAAAATGAAGTTTTGTCCTTAAAAGGGCTTTTACATTCGAATTCGTTGCTATTATTTTTGGCATAATTATCTTGACAAGTAGGTAAATTATCAATAATAAATATTATTGTCAATTTGATAGTGTCAAAGTATTTAATTAAATTCCTTAGCAGAAGTACCATTTTTAAATACTATAAATACTAAGTCAAACTGGCATAAGCCACAAACACAGACCTGTGGCCACAAACCTTACAAAAAAACACGAGTCCAGATAAAAAAAAATGAACTGTAGGTAGGTATGCAATAATAATTTTATGTTCCAAATTAAGTTGTTTTTTTAAATATGTAAAAATATACGGGCTGTCCCATTTAAAAAAATGTTATGTTTGTGAATAATTTGGAAACCCGCCGTTCAATTGTTGAGCAGATATATTTTTAATAATTTTCCACGATATTTCTATGATTTTTGTCAATGTATTCTTATAGGATTTTCTAAATTGATTTTTAATAATTTTCTACGATATTTCTATGTTGTGTTTTCTTCAAATTGAACTCAAAATTTTCGCAAATTCTCATTTTTGTGAATCAGAAACTTGATACTTTTTCGTATTTTTTAACCGTAGGCGTAATAAAAAATGGGTAATTAATGTTTCCTCCTACTATAGGGTTCACATAACCGTTATCCGAAATATGCGACGGTTTCGTACATATGCACAGCAAGGAAAAACGCATACAAACACTCGCAAGTTACCGCCATAATATGGGCGCATTCTGTTTGTAAATGCCTTACATAAAAAATCGGCAGCTGTTTGCTGCAGAACCAAGTTCGAACGTTGTCGTCGTCGAAAGAATCGAAACGAAATTAAACGTGCGCGGGTCGAGAGGGAATAAGAAAAAATTGTACACTTTTACCTGAGCTATGTTAATTATCAATCTTCTGGGGCCCCGTCTCGCTGCAACCGCTTCGACAATAGTACTTAAGACGACGCCAAGAATTTTCGAATTCGAATCGCCTGATTAAACAAACGATTATGGTAGGCTTTTATAAGAAATCGTTAAACACATATTTTAGCTAGGCGGTTTTTGTTTGTTGCAACTCAGTAGCTAGATATTTCATTAGTTACACACAAGTATTTGTTGTCTATTAGGGTTAAAAATATAACATTGGTAAACACATTCAAGTTGCAGACAAGGATCCAGCTTATGTCTTATAGATTTAATATGTTAATTAAAACGTATTTAGTCTTTATAAAATTTTAACCATGTAAAGGAAAATTGGTTATTTTTTACAATATTTTATCTCAAACCGTTTCAAAAATAACAATAATAAAAAATCTTCAGGGGCGCCCCTTTAAGAGGCTTTAGGTCCCTTGGTGGCCATTTGGACACCCTGTATTATGTTTTAGAGTTCTATTGACTACTAAACTTTTTCAGATAAAATCTTAGGGATACTCAAATGTTTAAAATATTATAGGGACATTCCAAGTTACTCGGTAATTTTTGTCACAATTAAAAATTGTGAGTAAAAACCACAGGTTATTAAATTATTATATATAATATTATTTTTATTGTGCTTATAAGCTTATTACAAGCATAATAAACAATATTTTAAAATACATTTAATAACGTGTAGTTTTTACTCACA